ACAACAATACACAGCACAACAATAAATAACACAACAATACACAAACACAACAATAAATAACAACAACAATACACAACACAACAATACACAACACAACAAAAATAACACAACAATACACAACACAACAATACACAACAACAATACCAACACAACAATACACAAACACAACCATACACAACACAACAATAAATAACACAAACATACACAACACAACAATAAATAACACAACAATACACAACACACAATACACAGCACACAATACACAACACAAACAATATGCAACCACACAATAATAACAAACAATACACAACACAACCAATAATAACACAACAAAAATAACACAAACAATACACAACACAAAATACCAACACAACAATAATAACACAACAATACACAACACAACAATACACAACACAACAATACACAACACAACAATAAATAACACAACAATACACAACACAACAATACACAACACAACAATAAATAACAACAATACACAACACAACAATACACAGCAACAATACACAACACAACAATACGCAACACAACAATAAATAACACAACAATACACAACACAACAATACACAACACAACAATAAATAACACAACAATACACAACACAACAATACACAACACAACAAAATAACACAAACAATACACAACACAACATACACAACACAACAATAAATAACACAACAATACACAACACAACAATACACAACACAACAATAAATAACACAACAATACACAACACAACAATACACAACACAACAATAAATAACACAACAATAAATAACACAACAATACACAACACAACAATAAATAACACAACAATACACAACACAACAATACACAACACAACAATACACAACACAACAATACACAACACAACAATACACAACACAACAATAAATAACACAACAATACACAACACAACAATAAAAAACAACAATACACACACAACAATACACAGCACAACAATACACAACACAACAATACGCAACACAACAATAAATAACACAACAATACACAACACAACAATAAAAACACAACAATAAATAAACAACAATACACAACACAACAATACACAACACAACAATACACAACACAACAATACACAACACAACAATAATAAACAACACAACAATACACAACACAACAATACACAACACAACAATAAATACACAACAATACACAACACAACAATACACAACACAACAATAAATAACACAACAATACACAACACAACAATAAATAACACAACAATACACAACACAACAATACACAACACAACAATAAATAACACAACAATACACAACACAACAATAAATAACACAACAATACACAACACAACATACACACAACAATAAATAACACAACAATACACAACACAACAATACACAACACAACAATACACAACACAACAATACACAACACAACCATACACAACACAACAATAAAAACACAACAATACACAACACAACAATAAATAACACAACAATACACAACACAACAATACACAGCACAACAATACACAACACAACAATATGCAACACAACAATAAATAAACAACATACCACACACAACATAAAACCACAATAATAACACAACATACAACACAACAATACACAACACAACAATAAAACACAACAATACACAACACAACAATACACAACACAACAATACACAACACAACAATAAATAACACAACAATACACAACACAACAATACACAACACAACAATAAAACAACAATACACAACACAACAATACACAGCACAACAATACACAACACAACAATACGCAACACAACAATAAATAACACAACAATACACAACACAACAATACACAACAAACAATAAACACAACAACACAACACAACAAACACACAACAATAAATAACACAACAATACACAACACAACAATACACAACACACAATAAACACAACAATACACAACCAACAATACACAACACAACAATAAATACACAATACACAACACAACAATAAATAACACAACAATACACAACACAACAATACACAACACAACAATAAATAACACAACAATACCCAACACAACAATACACAACACAACAATAAATAACACAACAATACACAACACAACAATACACAACACAACAATACACAACACAACAATAAATAACACAACAATACACAACACAACAATACACAACACAACAATACACAACAATAAATAACACAACAATACACAACACAACAATACACACACACAATACACAACACAACAATAAATTACACAACAATACCCAACACAACAATACACACAACAATAAATAACACAACAATACACAACACAACAATACACAACACAACAATACACAACACAACAATAAATAACACAACAATACACAACACAACAATACACAACACAACAATACACAACAATAAATAACACAACAATACCCAACACAACAATAAATAACACAACAATACACAACACAACAATACACAACACAACAATAAATAACACAACAATACACAACACAACAATACACAACACAACAATACACAACATTGGATCAGGTGTGTCTCTACCTTTGCCCTCTTACATAAACTCAGCTGCCTGTATGGTTCATAGTTGAGTTAATAAATTGACGTAAACACTGACATGAATGACATCACTCTCGTGTGAAAGCAGCCTAATCATTAATGTGTGTGTGTGTGTGTGTGTGTGTGTGTGTGTGTGTGTTCAGTGGAGTGCAGTGGTGGTGTGTTCAGGGAATGCTCCGGTGTTCTGAGCAGTGTGGACTTCCCGTCTCCTTACCCAAAGAGCTCTGAATGTTTGTACAGGATCGAGGTGGAGCAGGGCCTCAGGCTCCGCCTCTTTTTTGACCCCCACTTTGACGTGGAGGATCATCCCGACATCATCTGCCCGTACGACCACGTCAAGGTGAGGAGAGCACAGACACACACACACACACACACACATCTTTGGATTCAGCTGTGTGTGTGTGTGTGTGTGTGTGTGTGTGTTGTGTGTGTGTGTGTGTGTGTGTGTGTGTGTGTGTGTGTGCTTCAGATCAAAGCGGGCAGCACAGAGTTCGGTCCGTTCTGTGGAGATCGATCTCCAGGAGAGATTCAGACCGACACAAACATCATCACTGTCGTCTTCCACAGCGACAACTCAGGAGACAACACGGGCTGGAGGATCAAATACACATCTACAGGTGTGCACACTACACACATCTACACACACATCTACACACACATCTACACACATCTACACACACATCTACAGGTGTGCACACTACACACATCTACACACACACATCTACAAGTGTGCACACTACACACATCTACACACACACATCTACAGGTGTGCACACTACACACATTGTTAGGTGGGGGTTATTTCTGTAGTAGATGGACAATTATGAAATGTGAAACAGACTGTAGATCATCTTAGATTTATTCAGCCATGGTCAGACAACACAAAAACACAACACACATGGCTGACAAAGTGCAGACCATCGCTGACCCATGCTGACCAACATCTCACAATCATTGACAATCATTGGCAAAGTGGCAAAGTCTTCATCACACAGTGCTGCTTATATTCTGCTAGAAGGTACAGCCCACAAATTCCTTTCCATTTGGGTGCATCACTATAAAACAATAAAGATGACACTGATTTGTATACGTATCAGATGTAGACTCTCTGTCTAGCAAACAGTTGTTGACAACATATAGTTGGCTCCTCTCCAAACACAGATCTGCTACTACTTAGGTGCTTCACCCATATAAGGTTACAGCTTCACAGACCCAAAAGAAGAATTACTGTGAGATGGTTGACACAATTTAAAGATATGTCCACAAAATGATCAAGATGAATGAATCCATGAAAATACGTACTAACACACATCTACACACACATCTACAGGTGTGCACACTACACACATCTACACACATCTACAGGTGTGCACACTACACAACTACACGTACACACATGCACACAAACATACACTCATAAGCTTTTTTTTTGTCCTAACAGGAAGTCAGTGTGTGGTCCCTGAAGCTCCGCCCCATGCTTTGATGAATCCCCTCCAATCAGTATACTCCTTTAAGGATCACATGCTGTTCACCTGTGAGGAGGGATACAGACTGCAGAAGGTACGGCAAACAACACAGAGTACTACAAAGAGTACTACAAAGAGTACTACACAGAGTACTACAAAGAGTACTACACAGAGTACTACACAGAGTACGACACAGAGTACTACAAAGAGTACTACACAACTTATTACAAAGAGTACTACATAGAGTACTACAACGAGTACTTCATAGAGTACTACACAGAGTACTACAAAGAGTACTACACAACTTATTACAAAGAGTACTAAGAAGAGTACTACACAGCTTACTACAAAGAGTACTACACAGAGTACTACACAGAGTACGACACAGAGTACTACAAAGAGTACTACACAACTTATTACAAAGAGTACTACATAGAGTACTACAACGAGTACTTCATAGAGTACTACACAGAGTACTACAAAGAGTACTACACAACTTATTACAAAGAGTACTAAGAAGAGTACTACACAGAGTACTACAAAGAGTACTACACAGAGTACTACACAGAGTACGACACAGAGTACTACAAAGAGTACTACACAACTTATTACAAAGAGTACTACATAGAGTACTACAAAGCATACGACATAGAGTACTACAAATAGTACTACACAGAGTACTACAAAGAGTACTACACAGAGTACTACAAAGAGTACAACACAGAGTTCTACAAAGCATACTACATAGAGTACTACAAAGAGTACTACACAACTTATTACACAGATTACTACACAGCTTACTACAAAGAGTACTACAAAGAGTACTACACAGAGTACTACAAAGAGTACTACACAACTTATTACAAAGAGTACTACATAGAGTACTACACAGCTTACTACAAAGAGTACTACAAAGCATACTACAAAGAGTACTACATAGTACTACATAGAGTACTACATAGAGTACTACACAGCTTACTACAAAGAGTACTACACAGCTTACTACAAAGCATACTACATAGAGTACTACAAAGAGTAATACAACGCATACTACAAAGAGTAATACATATAGTACTACAAAGAGTACTACAAAGCATACTACAAAGAGTACTACATAGAGTACTACAAAGAGTACTACACAGAGTATGAGAGAGTACGACACAGAGTACTACAAAGAGTACTACATAGAGTACTACAAACCATACTACAAAGAGTAATACATATAGTACTACAAAGAGTACTACATAGATTACTACAAAGCAGACGACAAAGAGTACTACACAGAGTACTACACAGAGTACGACACAGAGTACGACATAGAGTACTACAAAGAGTACTACACAACTTATTACAAAGAGTACTACAAAGAGTACTACAAAGAGTACTACACAACTTATTACAAAGAGTACTACATAGAGTACTACATAGAGTACTTCATAGAGTACTACACAGAGTACTACAAAGAGTACTACACAACTTATTACAAAGAGTACTACAAAGAGTACTACATAGAGTACTACAAAGCATACTACAAAGAGTACTACACAGCTTACTACAAAGCATACTACGAAGAGTACTACAAAGCATACTACAAAGAGTACTACACAGCTTACTACAAAGCATACTACGAAGAGTACTACAAAGCATACTACAAAGAATAATACATAGAGTACTACAAAGAGTATTACTTAGAGTACTACAAAGCATACTAGATAGAGTACTACAAAGCATACTAAAAAGCATACTACATAGAGTACTACAAAGCATACTACAAAGAGTAATACATATAGTACTACAAAGAGTACTACATAGATTACTACAAAGCATACTACAAAGAGTATGACATGAAGTACTACAAAGCATACTACATAGAGTACTACACAGAGTACGACACAGAGTACTACAAAGAGTACTACACAACTTATTACAAAGAGTACAACACAGAGTACTACAAAGAGTACTACATAGAGTACTACACAACTTATTACAAAGAGTACTACACAGAGTACTACACAGAGTACTACACAGCTTACTACAAAGCATACCACGAAGAGTACTACATATAGTACTACACAGCTTACTACAAAGAGTACTACAAAGAGTACTACATAGAGTACTACAAAGAGTACTACACAACTTATTACAAAGAGTACTACATAGAGTACTTCATAGAGTACTACACAGAGTACTACAAAGAGTACTACACAACTTATTACAAAGAGTACTACAAAGAGTACTACATAGAGTACTACAAAGCATACTACAAAGAGTACTACACAGCTTACTACAAAGCATACTACGAAGAGTACTACAAAGCATACTACAAAGAGTACTGCAAAGAGCACTAGATAGAGTACTACACAGCTTACTACAAAGAGTACTACACAGCTTACTACAAAGAGTACTACACAGCTTACTACACAGCTTACTACAAAGAGTACTACACAGCTTACTACAAAGAGTACTACACAGCTTACTACAAAGAGTACTACAAAGCATACTACAATGAGTACTACACAGCTTACTACAAAGAGTACTACAAAGCATACTACAAAGAGTAATACATATAGTACTACATAGAGTACTACTTAGAGTACTACAAAGCATACTACATAGAGTACTACAAAGAATACTACATAGATTACTACAAAGCATACTACAAAGAGTACTACACAGCTTACTACAAAGCATACTACGAAGAGTACTACAAAGCATACTACAAAGAGTAATACATATAGTACTACATAGAGTACTACAAAGAGCACTACATAGAGTACTACACAGCTTACTACAAAGAGTACTACAAAGCATACTACAATGAGTACTACAAAGAGTACTACATAGAGTACCACAAAGAGTACTACAAAGCATACTACAAAGAGTAATACATAGAGTACTACAAAGAGTACTACTTAGAGTACTACAAAGCATACTACAAAGAGTAATACATAGAGTACTACAAAGAGTACTACTTAGAGTACTACAAAGCATACTAGATAGAGTACTACAAAGCATACTAAAAAGCATACTACATAGAGTACTACAAAGCATACTACAAAGAGTAATACATATAGTACTACAAAGAGTACTACATAGATTACTACAAAGCATACTACAAAGAGTACGACATGTAGTACTACAAAGCATACTACATAGAGTACTACAAAGAGTACTACACAGAGTACGACACAGAGTACTACAAAGAGTACTACATAGAGTACTACACAACTTACTACAAAGCATACTACAAAGAGTACTACAAAGCATACTACAAAGAGTAATACATTTAGTACTACATAGAGTACTACAAAGAGTACTACACAGCTTACTACAAAGAGTACTACAAAGCATACTACAATGAGTACTACAAAGAGTACTACATAGAGTACCACAAAGAGTACTACAAAGCATACTACAAAGAGTAATACATAGAGTACTACAAAGAGTACTACTTAGAGTACTACAAAGCATACTACAAAGAATAATACATAGAGTACTACAAAGAGTATTACTTAGAGTACTACAAAGCATACTAGATAGAGTACTACAAAGCATACTAAAAAGCATACTACATAGAGTACTACAAAGCATACTACAAAGAGTAATACATATAGTACTACAAAGAGTACTACATAGATTACTACAAAGCATACTACAAAGAGTATGACATGAAGTACTACAAAGCATACTACATAGAGTACTACACAGAGTACGACACAGAGTACTACAAAGAGTACTACACAACTTATTACAAAGAGTACTACAAAGAGTACAACACAGAGTACTACAAAGAGTACTACATAGAGTACTACACAACTTATTACAAAGAGTACTACACAGAGTACTACACAGCTTACTACAAAGCATACCACGAAGAGTACTACAAAGCATACTACAAAGAGTAATACATATAGTACTACACAGCTTACTACAAAGAGTACTACAAAGCATACTACAACAAGTACTATACAGAGTACCACAAAGAGTACTACATATAGTACTAGATAGAGTACTACACAGCTTACTAGATAGAGTACTACACAGCTTACTACAAAGAGTACTACACAGCTTACTACAAAGAGTACTACAAAGCATACTACATAGAGTGCTACAAAGAGTACTACATAGATTACTACAAAGCATACTACAAAGAGTACTACACAGCTTACGACAAAGCATACTACGAAGAGTACTACAAAGCATACTACAAAGAGTAATACATATAGTACTACATAGAGTACTACAAAGAGCACTACATAGAGTACTACACAGCTTACTACAAAGAGTACTACAAAGCATACTACAATGAGTACTACAAAGAGTACCACAAAGCATACTACAAAGAGTAATACATATAATACTACAAAGAGTACTACTTAGAGTACTACAAAGCATACTACAAAGAGTAATACATAGAGTACTACAAAGAGTACTACAAAGAGTACTACAAAGAGTACTACATAGAGTACCACAAAGAGTACTACAAAGCATACTACAAAGAGTAATACATAGAGTACTACAAAGAGTAATACATATAGTACTACAAAGAGTACTACATAGATTGCTACAAAGCATACTACAAAGAGTATGACATGAAGTACTACAAAGCATACTACATAGAGTACTACAAAGAGTACTACAAAGAGTACTACACAACTTATTACAAAGAGTACTACAAAGAGTACAACACAGAGTACTACAAAGAGTACTACATAGAGTACTACACAACTTATTACAAAGAGTACTACACAGAGTACTACACAGAGTACTACACAGCTTACTACAAAGAGTACTACAAAGCATACTACGAAGAGTACTACAAAGCATACTACAAAGAGTAATACATATAGTACTACACAGCTTACTACAAAGAATACTACAAAGCATACTACAACAAGTACTATACAGAGTACCACAAAGAGTACTACATATACTACTACATAGAGTACTACACAGCTTACTACAAAGAGTACTACAAAGCATACTACAACGAGTACTATACAGAGTACTACATAGAGTACCACAAAGAGTACTACATATAGTACTACATAGAGTACTACAAAGAGTACTACATATAGTACTACAAAGCATACTACGAGTATTACACAGCTTACTACAAAGAGTACTACAAAGCATACTACGAGTACTACACAGCTTACTACAAAGAGTACTACACAGCTTACTACAAAGAGTAATACATATAGTACTACATAGAGTACTACTTAGAGTACTACAAAGCATACTACATAGAGTACTACAAAGCATACTACATAGAGTACTACAAAGACTACTACATAGAGTACTACATAGAGTACTACAAAGAGTACTACATAGAGTACTATGCAGAATAATTTCCAGCAGTATTAAAGACTGTATCTCTCGTGGTCATGTTGTCAGGATGCAGAGTACCTGGATCATTATCAGGTAGTGTGTCAGGCTGACGGAGCGTGGAGCAGCAGTCCTCCTAACTGTACCAGTAAGCAAGCACACACACACACACACACACACACACACACACACACACACACACACTTGAACTCTTCATCTGTAACTTTTAGTTTTTCTATCTTTAACTCCTCAGCGGTTCTGATTGGTCCTCTCTCTTACAGTGGTGGATTGTGGGAGTCCAAAGGCCGTTGCCATGGCAGATTTGGTGTTTGATAGTCATGACAACAACACAATGTTTGGATCTACAGTTCAGTACGTGTGCAGAGAGGACGCCATCAACGGTAAGATTAGAGGTTATGTGGAGGTGTCTCATCAGGGTCAAAGGTCACATGACTTCTTCCAGAGTGGGAGTTCTTACATCATCTGCCACAAATGATTCTGAACATGAAGTGTTATAAACGCACAGCTTTATAAAGGTAAACAACGTGTCAAACAGGAAGTATCATGAAGGGGACAGGAAGAGGTTTTATTTTGATGAACTGCAGAATGAGGTGAACATGATGCACAGGGTTAGAATGATGAATCTGCTGTAGTCTGAGACTGTCCAGCAGCTGGGACTGTAACACAGGGTCCTCACATGCTTCTGTCCAGTCATGGTGTGTGTGTGTGTTTACTAGTTTCCTACAGCTGTGGGCCGAAAGGAGAGTGGGTCAGTTCATCAGGAAGCAAACTGCCGAGCTGCAGGCCGGCCAACAGCTCAGGTAATTTGAGGAATGATATCACCAACGCAAAGAAGTAAACAAAGGATTAAAGTGTGTCTCCTCTCCAGCTTGTGGCCAGCCGGCTCGCTACCCCCCCCCTCAGGTGAAGCGGGTGGTGGGGGGCCGCAGTGCAGGGCCGGGCCTGTTCCCCTGGCAGGTCCTGCTCAGTGTGGAGGACCTGTCGCGGGTCCCTGAGGACCGCTGGTTTGGCTCTGGGGCCCTGCTGTCCGAGTCCTGGGTCCTAACAGCTGCCCATGTCCTAAGGTCCCAAAGGAGGGACACCAGTGTGGTCCCTGTGGCCCCCCAACACATCAAGGTTAAAGAGTATAACCAGTATAACCAGTATTACCAGTTTAACCACATAGACAAGTATAACCAGTATAACCAGTATAACCAGTATAACCAGTATAACCCGTGTGTTCCAGGTGTCCCTTGGTCTCCATGATGCTGCAGACAGAGGGTCCTCTCTGATTCGCTCGGTGAAGCTCCTCCTCCTCCATCCAGACTTCCAACCAAACAACTACAACAACGACATCGCGCTGCTGAAGCTGACGGAGCGAGTGGAGTTTACTGAGCTCATCCGCCCTGTCTGCCTCCCCCCACTTCACAACAAGGTACCCCAAATACCCCAAACATGGTACCCCAAATACCCCAAACTAGGTACCCCAAATACCCCAAATACCCCAAACATGGTACCCCAAATATCCCACAAGGTACCCCAAATACCCAAAACATGGTACCCCAAATACCCCAAACTAGGTACCCCAAATATCCCACAAGGTACCCCAAATACCCTAAACATGGTACCCTAAATACCCCAAACAAGGTACCCCAAATACCCCAAACATGGTACCCTAAATACCCCAAACAAGGTACCCCAAATACCCCAAACATGGTACCCCAAATACCCCAAACATGGTACCCCAAATATCCCACAAGGTACCCCAAATACCCAAAACATGGTACCCCAAATACCCCAAACTAGGTACCCCAAATATCCCACAAGGTACCCCAAATACCCTAAACATGGTACCCTAAATACCCCAAACAAGGTACCCCAAATACCCCAAACATGGTACCCTAAATACCCCAAACAAGGTACCCCAAATACCCCAAACATGGTACCCCAAATACCCCAAACATGGTACCCCAAATATCCCACAAGGTACCCCAAATACCCAAAACATGGTACCCCAAATACCCCAAACTAGGTACCCCAAATACCCTAAACATGGTACCCTAAATACCCCAAACTAGGTACCCCAAATACCCCAAACATGGTACCCCAAACAAGGTACCTCAAAAACCCCAAACATGGTACCCTAAATACCCCAAACTAGGTACCCCAAATACCCCAAACATGGTACCCCAAACAAGGTACCTCAAAAACCCCAAACATGGTACCCTAAATACCCCAAACTAGGTACCCCAAATACCCCAAACAAGGTACCCCAAATACCCCAAACATGGTACCCCAAATATCCAACAAGGTACCCCAAACATGGTACCCCAAATACCCCAAACATGGTACCCCAAACTAGGTACCCCAAATACCCCAAACATGGTACCCCAAATATCCCACAAGGTACCCCAAATACCCCAAACATGGTACCCCAAATATCCCACAAGGTACCCCAAATACCCAAAACATGGTACCCCAAATACCCCAAACTAGGTACCCCAAATACCCTAAACATGGTACCCTAAATACCCCAAACTAGGTACCCAAATACCCCAAACATGGTACCCCAAACAAGTACCTCAAAAACCCCAAACATGGTACCCTAAATACCCCAAACTAGGTACCCCAAATACCCCAAACATGGTACCCCAAACAAGGTACCTCAAAAACCCCAAACATGGTACCCTAAATACCCCAAACTAGGTACCCCAAATACCCCAAACAAGGTACCCCAAATACCCCAAACATGTACCCCAAATATCCAACAAGGTACCCCAAACATGGTACCCCAAATACCCCAAACATGGTACCCCAAACTAGGTACCCCAAATACCCCAAACATGGTACCCCAAATATCCCACAAGGTACCCCAAATACCCCAAACATGGTACCCCAAATATCCCACAAGGTACCCCAAATACCCCAAACATGGTACCCCAAATACCCCAAACAAGGTACCCCAAATACCCCAAACATGGTACCCTAAATACCCCAAACTAGGTACCCCAAATACCCCAAACAAGGTACCCCAAATACCCCAAACATGGTACCCCAAATATCCCACAAGGTACCCCAAATACCCCAAACATGGTACCCCAAATATCCCACAAGGTACCCCAAATACCCCAAACATGGTACCCCAAATACCCCAAACAAGGTACCCCAAATACCCCAAACATGGTACCCTAAATACCCCAAACTAGGTACCCCAAATACCCCAAACAAGGTACCCCAAATACCCCAAACATGGTACCCCAAATATCCCACAAGGTACCCCAAATACCCCTAACATGGTACCCCAAATATCCCACAAGGTACCCCAAATACCCCACAAGGTACCCCAAATATCCCAAATACCAGGTACCCCAAATACCCCAAACAAGGTACCCAAAATACCCCAAACCAGGTACCCCAAATACCCCAAACAAGGTACCCCAAATACCCCACAAGGTACCCCAAATACCCCAAACAAGGTACCCTAAATACCCCAAACAAGGTACCCCAAATACCCCACAAGGTACCCCAAATACCCCAAATACAAGGTACCCCAAATACCCCACCTCAAACGATAGTAAGACACAAAACATCTGTTTCTTATCATACACTCAATAAGTAATTTAAGTGGGTTAGCAAAGATGTCAAAGAAATGTCCAAACTTCACAGAAAATTTGAAAGTCAGGACTTCATGGGGAGTTATGAAAATGGTATTTTAAGGTCAGGTATGTGTAGGATAGTCGGGGAAACTTGATCTAAATAGTAATTATTATCTAATGAGAACTTTTGTGAACAGTCACAACTTTTGTATCTATTGGGCCTTTATTTAAAAGACAGTAAAGAAATCAGGGGGAGAGAGAGGGTGGGGGACATGCGGGACAGGAGCAACAGATTCAAACCCAGACTTGTTTGGAGGACTACAGCCTTAGTGCACTAACCACTAGGCCACCACCCAGGACATTCAGGACTTTTGTCAAGACTTTTAAGGATATGGATCTCTATTTGTTTGTTTTTTTCAGGGTGACCCCCCCGCTCCTCTCCCGAACTCTCTGGGTGTAGTTGCTGGTTGGGGAATCTCCAACGACAACACCTCCTCCTCCTCCGGCGCCCCCCCCTCGCTGACCTCTGATGTCCTGCAGTTTGTGAAGCTGCCGGTGGTTTCTCAGGACGAGTGTCAGGCGAGCTACGCCTCGCGCTCCATCAGCTACAACATCACCGACAACATGTTCTGTGCCGGCTTCTTTGAGGGGGGGCGGGACACCTGCCTGGGGGACAGCGGGGGGGCATTTGTGATGGAGGACAGGGTCAGTCGGAGGTGGGTGGTGTTTGGGTTGGTGTCTTGGGGGGGGCCTGAGGAGTGTGGGAGTCAAAGGGTGTACGGGGTCTACACCCGCGTGGCTAAATATGTAGAGTGGATACAGGAGCAGCTTCATGCTGCCCCCTAGTGGTAAGACCAGGAAGTCCCAGAGGTCACATGACCCCTGCTGATACTACAAACATGAGGTCTGAAGTTTTATCACAACTGAAGCATCCATTGTCTGCAGCTGTGATTGGTCCTCAGAGGGTTAGGGTTAGAAACCATCAGTCAGACTCTCTGGATGTCAGGTAGCAGTACCTGCTTTATACCACCAGGGAGCGCGTTCATACAGGACCTTCTTCTTTAAAGCACTGAGAAGTTTTCTGCAGTGTTCAGTTCTTTTATTTTCTTTAAATTTAAACCAAACTGCAGAGTTTCTGTGATGTCACCAAAGAGCTGAGCTTCCTCCATGTTGTTTCCCAGAATGCTTTGCTACACTCACTGTAGAGTTATTGTACTTTAAATGACTCCTCGTCTTCACTGCAGCGCCCCCTTCAGGCTGCTCTGACACATTGTCATGTTGATTATAATAAAAACATGAATGAACACTCCCTTTGTCTTCTTCTCTTTGTTCTGTTTGCACTTTCAAAAAATCTAAAGAGAGTTATACGTTTAATACTGAAGACTTTGATAATTGAGGAAGCTTCAGGCGAAACGCGCACAATAAAAATAGAGAAACGTTATTTTCAGTGTGCCGCGGTCTTGAAGCGTGTTGCATTCATGTGGGGATTTTTCTTTTTTGCCTGGTTTCTCGTTACGAGAAAAAGATACTAGAGGGTGCACGCCTCCTCATTGCCTCCACCCGAATGCTTCTCTCGTCATTACAAGATCTTTATCTCGTTATGACAAGAAACAAGGCACAAAATGATTGAGGGACTGTTGGCTGTGATCGTTCCCTCGCCATGACACTCGGGAGGAAAGAGTGTTTTTCATCCTCATCCACTTTATTTAGTGAGATGTTTTCGTTGACTGTTGACTTGAAGTTTAACGTGCTTTACAATTAACAAAGATCAATATTTTTTTTTCTCTTGTTTAAGAGATTTAGATTTACATTATTGATCCCGCGAGGGGAAACTTCAGTTTCAGTGTCAACACACACATGAAATACACACAAACAGGATCCTATGGACATGCACTAATGGAGAGATGTCAGAGTTATGGAGCTGCCCATAGTGGGCGCTCATGAGCTGATGGTGGGGAGGGGGTTTGGTGCCTTGCTCAAGGGCACCTCGGCAGTGCTCAGGAAGTGATCTGGCACCTCTCCAGCGACCAGACCAACTTCCAGATTTGAACCGGTGACCCCCCGGTTCCTAGCCCAATTCCCTACAGACTGAGCTATAACATTACTTAATGAATCAAGATGAAAAATGAAGCCTTTAGACTCAGAGGAGTCCAGAAGACTTCTCTACCCCAGATGAGGACATGGACTCCACTGAGTCTGAAGCCGGGGTGCCCCCTCCAACTTCAGACCATTCAGAATCTGGTGGAGTGGAGAATGTTTGTTGTCCAAGGACGGGGAAATCAGTTGGTCTGGCACTGCTGACGTCATGCGGCGTTCTGTCCCCCCTGTAATCCCCCAGCCGGGACTAACTGCCCCGATGAGGACATTGAATCCACCTGGAATTTACTGATGACAGAGAAAATCGTGCAGGAGCTTTAAAAATACAAACCTCTACATGCAGCGGACCCCAAAGCCGCTGATACTAATTATCATCAAAGTCAAATCTGTTTTGAGAATATTGAATTATAATGTATTTAATGTGATTCATTAAATCATGATTTCAATCAAACAAGAACCCCTTCATGATCAAAAATATTGATCTTTCATACTTTTATTTCAGTTTAAAGTTCAAACTACAAATCTTAACAGTCCTAACGTAACTTTTTTAAAATTCAAATTCAAAAAACTTGATTTGTCCCCGGGGGGAATTCAAAGGCAGGAAATGAACAACAATGCAGGTAGAAACGTTTTAAACCAAAAATATAAAGTGGCATAAGCAGGGCATCATTTAGGAAGAGGACTGTGGACTTCATTTGAAACTTTTCCTGGTGCTACTTTAACTGAAGGATTTTACTGCAGGACCTGGACCAGAGTCTGAGCAAAGTATGAGTCCTGTAGTTCAGGGTCCTAGTAGTCCTCCAGCTGTGAACATAAAGCTCAGGTGGGAAACAGTATCAGGCCGATCTTCCCATGGTGTCCTGGATCCACTGCAGGAAGTTCCCTAGTCGGGTGTAAACTCCATACTTTCCCTTATCGGCACATTTCTCCCCCCAGCTGACCACCCCGCTCAAGAACCAGGTCCCCCTGTAGTTCACAACGAATGGCCCCCCACTGTCCCCGCTGCAGGCGTCCATGCTGGTCTCCAGGTAACCCGCACAGAACATGTTGTCTGTGATTACCTGAGGACAGAGGACGGAAAAAACACGTCAGGGACGAGAAAGCCACGAGACATGTCAGGGACAAGGCTGAGAACGCCACACGACACAGAGGACACGTCAGGGACAATGCTGAGAACGCCAAGACACACAGAGGACACGTCAGGGACAGGGCTGAGAACGCCAAGACACACAGAGGACACGTCAGGGACAGGGCTGAGAACGCCACACGACACAGAGGACACGTCAGGGACAATGCTGAGAACGCCAAGACACACAGAGGACACGTCAGGGACAGGGCTGAGAACGCCACGAGACACAGAGGACATGTCAGGGACAGGGCTGAGAACGCCACGAGACACAGAGGACACGTCAGGGACAGGGCTGAGTTACAGAAAAAATAAGTGAGTGATAATTTTAAGCTCCATTAGCTGCCTTACATTCCTTTTGCTGTTCCACTCCAGGCCAGCAGGGGGGGGGGGATAATGTCAATCTAACTCTTTTAACTGTCAATAAAAACAGTGAGGTGGATCTGATCACCTGTTCAGTGGTCGCAGTGCAGTCTTTGTAGCTGACCACCGGGAGTGTCACCTTCCTGAGAAACCTGGAGGACTTGCCCAAGAACCGAGTGAGGCCCCAACCCGTCACCACGCCACGGTTACCCTCCTGTATCACACACATACACACACACACAAGCTTTCATCTCGTATCTTTCCTCCAGCTAACTGAAACCATCAGTGTTATGAATAAAGTTACCTCCAGCAGGTATTTGGAGAGGTGGGGGTCAGGAAGGCAGGCGGGGATGGCGGTAGAGCCCCTGACAACGGGCCGGGCAAGATAGAGCAGAGCAATGTCGCTGTCAAAGGTGAACGAGTGGAAGTGAGGATGGACAAAGACCTTCTGAACCTTTATGAGCTGCTCACCTGGATCAGGACGTTTCTTGTCAAAGTCTCCTAGACACACACACACACACACACACACACACACACACACACACACACACACACACACACACACACACACACACACACACACACACACACACAAACACAACTGTAATTCTCTTTTGTCAGGGTGCTCTGGTAAGTCTCTGAAGACTCTTCAACTGGTCCAGAATGCTGCAGCTCGTGTACTGACTAGAACTAGGAAAAGGGACCACATTACTCCTGTGTTGGCTTCTCTGCACTGGCTCCCTATACAGTCTAGAATAGAATTCAAGATCCTTCTTCTCACTTATAAAGCTCTAAATGGCCAGGCACCATCTTATCTCAAAGAGCCGTGGTACCTACTGAGTCTAAATGTACTATGGGAGGTAGAGCCTTCAGTTATTAGGCCTGCTCGTGGTACCTACTGAGTCTAAATGTACTATAGGAGGTAAAGCCTTCA